TAATTTACCCTTGCGTACGGTTGGCGATCTTGATTTGACGGTTCGCGCGAAAAGTCAAGTCCTGTTTATTATTGGAACGTACATGCAATAGAATAACAGCATAGACCTGCTGCAATTAATATTACGTAGAAATCCCATTTTAACGACTAGTGTAAGAATTTTACGCTTTTCCTCGTTGTTATATCAAACTGTTTTTTATTTTTAACACGTTAAACGCCGAGCTTAGGCTTCTTTTGACTTCCGTTCCGTTTAGCCCATGTTATAACATTCTGCGAAATCAGCGAATTACCGTGTTTTTTAATAATACTCATTAAAATTTAATATTTAGATATATCCTCTAATGATCTCGAAATTATTTAATATTGATTTATATAGAAGAATGTCATCTTTTAAATTGTATACCATCAGTCACCGGTTACTGATATGGCGCTTTACGTGTTAACAGAGTATTTATAGCAGAGTTTATATGCTGGTGAGAATATTATGTTCGATTTTATTTGTCCACTATCATTTGATTTATTATCAAGATATCTAGTTAATACATTTAACACTAGATTTACGCAGCACAAAAAACAGCTGTTTTATATTATTATAATTATAATATATATTATAATTCTGATTTTTAGCAAATATTATTGTAACATTTGCCGAAAGTAACATATAAATTGAATACACGACTCATAAATGTATCTTTACGATATGAATGATCGTAAATTAAAAAATTAGTGACCCGATATTTTGACGGGTTCAGTAAATCTAGTGTTAAACGCGGTGAATTAAAAATTGTGCGAATTAAAAATATGGATTGATTTGTGGTACTTTATTTAGTCATTGTTTAATACGCTTTTTTTATTTGATCGACGAAATCATAGAGGACATTGTGATGTAAATTGTAAGAGAATCTTCGGTGACAATAGCAATGGTCACAATAAAAAGAACGCCATAAAAGCGAACAGTTAAAATTGGAATCAGTAAAGAAAGAAACGGAAGAAGGGGATAAACGGAAGTTGAGGAACAGTTTGCTAGTCCGAACGGCACGGTCTGGTTGGCTCTTGAAAGGAAGAGCATTTTATAGGTTAGAATCTGTTTTATGTGTGCCAGATTTCCTATTACGGCCCCCAACTTCGGGCGTTCCAGACGACAGAAGAGCGTCTAGAGAGAGAACTTTATGTCCTAAAACGAAAACTAATCCTTCAGCCGTATTTCTCCGAAGAATCATAATCGTCTCGCCCGTCAATCGACTTCCGATTCGAGCTCAAGGACTTCTGCACGCCAACAGAAGATCGGCCACATTTAAAAATAATTCTAGCAATGAAACCTAATGAATTTCCTTCTAGAAATTAGATACTCGACGAAAACATTCTTAACTTGAGAGGAACATTTTTAAACGAACAAATCGAGTCTTAAAAATCGAATATCATCCTTTGTCAACGCGTTTTTAAATGTTTCAAAGACTATATTTTGTGTTCGTCTTGCCACATCTCGATCTGGACACTAGTTCACGAAGAATCATTAACTATCAAAATAGATTCCGGTCAATTAAATTCCTTTCAGTATTCGGATCAATTTCAATGCTTCAATTAATCATAAATAGTTATATGAAAATTTAAACTTCGTCGAGTCATCGCGACGTTATCTCGTCAGTTTGTAGTCGAAACACTGCTGCGATCATTTCAAAGTATTGCAATTACATAATCGTGTAAATCACGATTAATTGTTGACTTCATTAGACTGTAATTATACAGTTTCCTCGTGTCTCGTTTTAATCTGATCCTCGTAATACTAACGTCACAATGTTCGCAACTGGGTGAACGTTTCGAGCTGAGTTACCGTCATTAGGATAACGAATTTCGAACAATTCTGTTCCGCTCTTTTGACAATCGAGACAAAGCATTCTTCCAGAAACTTGAAGCCGAGTGTAAGCCCGGTTTGTCAAACAGGTCCAATTCGCAAGAATCAATCACGGATTACCTTACCATGAGGAGACTTCTGCTGTTATGTTGTGAGCGTAACTTGCGTGCAATTGGTCGGTTTCTGTCTCTTCGCTCGCTGAAAATGGATTGCGCGTCGAACGGATCGGACATCACTGATTGAAAAGTATTTTGCTCAAATAAAATGATCCCTCGGCTCATTGAATATTATAGAAAAGTCGAACGAGTATTCTAAATATTTCTCTTGTTAAACATTATACAATCATGGAAGTTGAGATGCTGTTGTTGCCAATAGACCGCCGATTTTTATGCATTTGTGAAATTTTTTTAAGTTACGATCATTGAGATTGAAAAAGTACACTAACGTGTATATTGTAATAAAGATTGCTAAAAGTCTAAATACATCATTGTCATTTGTATATAATAATGTAAAACAGTTGCAAACGTACTCGTAAATCTACAGTTAAAGACATTTATGCTCCACTTTTTCCCTAAAGAATTTTCTAATTTTCTAATAAATTTCATTTATTTTTCACACTGTGTGTTGAATTTACATAAGATTTCGACGAAATCAAAGACGTAGCAGTGTATGCAAATCTAGCGGAAATTTTTTATAATTTATTACAATATTTTTATAAATAATGTATCTCTTTTCTGCACATATCCATAAATTAAAACTGTAAAGATCACGTGTTAATAGTGCGAGCCTATTATGATGGTACCTACTAAATAAAATTCATTTGTTTAATGTGGCAACTGTTGCCAGTTACGAATAATTTAATTCGTCCACGTAGAAGAAAAGTATGACTGTACGTTGAAACTGTTAGAATGGTTGGATGAATTATGACTGGCACAAAGTGTATGCGTGCAAGAAATCTGGGTAAGGAAACAGTTATCAGATGCGCATGGGAATAATACGAATTAAGAACTCATTACAAACGCGTTATTAATGCGAGATTCCTATCAATTAAATTGAGAATAATCTTTTATTCCAGTATCTTCAAGCCAAACTTTTTTGCGCGAACTTAGGAAAAATTGTGCAAACGTTCTATTTTTGAAGATCGATATTATTTGAAACTAAGAATACTCGCGTAATTTTGTCAGATTGCAATTTTCAGAATATCAGTGGTACAAAATAATTTCTTTCAACACTAGATTTACGAAACCCGTCAAAATGACGGGTTTTTAAAATTTTTTAATTTACGATTATTCATATCGTAAAGATACATTTATGAGTTGTTTATTCTATTCATATGTTACTTACGGCAAATGTTATAATAAAACTTGTTACAAACCAGAATATAAATGTCTTATTGTTACTTTTGTAAATTAATATATGTTTTTTGTGTTCCGTAAATCTAGTGTTAAAGATTGTAGACTAGAGAAGTAGTAGGGGAGAATAGTGTAATGGTAATCAACGGGCAATGATGGTCAGCATCGTTATTACGAAATGGTATTTCCAAAAATAGCTAATATTTTTGTAACGTATCCACAAACATCACCTCTCAAATCCTGAAGAACCCATCACTTAAATGTTAGTACGTTGCCGTGAGATACATTCCCAAAAACTTTCCCTACAGTGCGGCTGTACAGAACTATAGTTTTGTCATACAATTAAAGGATTACATCACAATTCAATAAAAATATAGTTGATTTCTGTTTTTTATATTCAGTTTTAATAAATAATACATATGCGGTCATGGTGGTCACTTTGAAGAATACTTAATAAAAAAAAGGAAAAAACAGAAAAAAATTAAGAAATTAAGAAAAAATTAAAACCAACGTTAAAAAGAAAAGAAAATTAGATGCGAAGCGACCAAAGAATTCTTCTGTGGAATCATACGGATTCCCCCCAAAAGATACGATAATTATATAACATGCTGATCACAATTACCTGCAACGCAACTGCCACTGGTGCGAGCAATAAGGGTTAAAACTATTTTTTTTATAACGATAATTTCACCAAAATAAATCATTACGGATTATTATTATTATTATTCATATTTTTTACTTTTTTTTTTCATTTATTACCTCAAATTTATAAAAACTTACTTTAAATAATTTGATTGTATTGAAATTCTTGCTCAAGTGAACACCGCTACCACATTCTCTCTTATGTGTTTACTTAATAAAATTCTTGGTGTCTCTAAAGTCACTGTACAATCCTAATGTAGTAGAATGCACAACCATAATTTAACCAGAAAATTCTAAAATCCCTCTTATTGGCTACAGCCACAGCTACAGACATACACGTACAAGCTACAAAACTATATCGGACACATTTCAATTAAATAGTAGGTTGGCAATCAAGTTTCCGCCTTTTTGTTTAAATTTTAACATTCCGCATGTCATTGAATGTTTTTGGCATAATGTTTTAAATCATTCGAAAGAGGATGTTTTGTTCTACCGGAATCTATGTTTCGTTTTTTTGTTCGAGTTAATTTCTGTTAATTTTCATAACATTAGAACGTAATGTCAAGTTGAGAAAAATGAGCATTTTCGACACCTTCTTTTTGCTTTTAATCAAGGTTCTAAGGCCGCAAAAGCTGCTCGCGGCATTTCTGCTGTGTATGGAGAGGGTGCCATAGCTGAAAGAACCGCTCGTGATTGGTAGGTCAAGTTCAAAAATGGAAATTTTAACCTCGACGACGCACCTAATTCTGGCCAGTTCTCTTGTCGTTTGACGCGAAATTTCATGCAAAAGTTGGTTCAATTGCTCTTCATCGAACTCAACTGCACGACCAGAAACAAAACATCCTGTTTCGAATGATTTCAAACATTATGTCGAAAACATCGAATGACACGCGGAATGTTAAAATTTATGGAAACGGCGAGAACTTAGTTGTCAACCCAATAGTACAGCAAGGGACAGTCATTTATCGATATAAAACGCTTTAAGTAAATGCAATTCACATCGGTAAGGGAGCTATTTGAAAAAATCAGTTAGGCGTGAAAAATGTAGCGGTTATTCTTGGAAAAGTTTCTCGCGCATAAAGCAACCAACCACCTGCGTGATTGGCGGTACGCTGTGTGATTGAAAATAAAATTAAAGGCCGCGGCAGTACTTACCAAGGCTACGTAGCAGAACGTTCCGGAGGGGTGTCAGATTCGAAGGGTACACTAGTGGCAGGTATATGAGAATTCAATGTATGAGGAAGGGGCCCTAGGTCGATAGCACTCGGAGGTGGTGCACCTCCTATGTAGGGCACCTGTCCCTCGTAAGTTGGCGCCCCAGTAGGACCAGTGCATCCGGTACAATAATACCGACTAGGTAGAAACATCCCGAAATCATTCCAAAAACGCATTGTGCGAATTTCGTGGTTAGCTGCAACCAAAAGAAACGTCAAATTACAATCCTGGAGATCGACGCGTGCCATTAATGAGCTACTAAACTACAATCTTACGGATTTATAAATTTTCAGCTCACTTTCACTTACATAATGGACCCTTAACCGCTTGCACTACGATTTCATTCACGCTTACGTTGATTAGCATTTCCTCGTTCTTAATAGTTTCTCTAATAGAACGGAACAACTTTTGCTTCTTGTAAGAACCAAATTTTGTTTCGATTCGGAAGAAGTTTTCAATTTAGTATACAGTGTGCAAATTATTCCTCGGCCCTAAAACTGAATCAGTTGTAAGTTTGATTCAAACAAACCAAACTGTAACCACGATATACCAACGTTAAAACGATAAAGCTCGACTAGCATAACATAAAAATATAGGTACTAACAAACAGTGCATCAGGCATTGCATACTTTTTGCATTTCGATTGAAAGAAAAAATGCCGCTGGAGCTAAAGAAATGATCTGTTCGACCTTAGGCGAAGCTGCCGCGTCTCGCAGTACTTGCAAGAAATTGTCCTATCTTGTATTATACGGCGAAAGAAGGAAATTTATCGTTACGTGCGACTGGAGGCGAGCGCGTCACGTAACTTTCAGTGTTATACCTGCTAAAGATTTGTGATTCAAAACATATAAGAGGTGTTACCGTTTTACTTTGGTAAAAAAACTTTTTCAATTACATATGAAGTTTTTACGCAGAGTAGACTAGTTCCCACAAATAGTTTGATAAGAGTTAATTTGATAGTTAACACATTAAAGGCGGGAGTCGTAGTACTACGATTTATCTCGACTTCTCATAAATATGTACTTCAAAACATTTTTTGTAATTAGTGTTTAGTTCTTTTTTAATATTTCTTTTAGTTTTAAGAGTTTAAATAAACTTTTTTAAGTCTAAATTTTTTTATGATTACACACAATATCGCCCGCTCTAGGATGAAAAACAAGGCGAGGCGGTCGCCGCGTTACCTAGCATACTTTCGTCAAGATCCCCTGCCTTTAATGTGTTAATAACGATTCTAGATTCCATCCGACATAATGGCCACAAATCGAGCATCATCGACGGGGATTCCTAGAACGGTGCACCCAGAATTCACGTGGTTCATAGCCAATAGAAATTCACCCATTCAGGCATCAAGATGGCCGACCCCTCGAGGCGTGGTTTTCACAAGGCCGTACATATAAACGGCAGAACCTGTTGGATCTACCACCCTGTCGCAACCCATAACCACGGGTTCGCTTGTCGATCGAGCTTTGGCTTCCCATCGTTTTAATCGTCGCTGACCTTTTCTTTCTAATTGCCAATCCTGTGCGAGGAAAGCTAATTAATGAAGGCCATTAACACGTTGACTGCCAAGCCTATTTTCAAGAAATCTGGTTTAGACACTAACATTTCTTGTTTTTAAATAAATAAATAATAATAAGTAAAAATTAATAAATAAGTCCTTTCCTCATGTCGGTAATGAACCTCCAACAGACGCATCCTGGTGAGCGTCTACCACGAGATGTCTCGTAGTTGGCAGTGATTGGGTTAATGAAGATCAAACAGCTAATTAATGAAGACCGAGTCAAAATGACAACGTCGACCGACAAAATGGACAAAGTAGAAAGAAGACTCTTTGAATAGTGGTTTCATAGTTAGCAGTAAAGATATATATAAGATATTATATAAAGATTATCTTATATTAAGATATTATCTTATATTAAAGATTATTTTATAATAAGATATAAGATATATATAAAGATTGTGTATATATAAGTTTTGAGAGACGGTCGGAATTGGTTTTCTCGTATCTCTTTGTTCATAAGTAAAACTTAAATGTCACCGTGGCGCTGATAGTCTTTAAACATTCGCAGTTGGCTGAACTGTATACGGGTCAGGATTGGTTCGACTGTATAGGCGGTAAGTCATACATTCTTTACGAAGAAATAATGCGATCCTGGTGTACCGGTAGAACTGTATAGTACCCATTGTCGGTACAACGAGCAACAATTTGCATAGACGACACTCTTTACGAACGTTGGATTTTCCTCTAATAATTACACACAATTTTTGCGCGGTTACTCCGTACGAGGAAGATAGTTTAAAAAATCAAATTATAGGTAGATAAATGGAATTCGCCTATGAACGGAAAAGACAAATTATGATCGCAGGTGTGTTATAAATCGTTTCGAATGAAGAAGTAGAAATGATACACAGATCGGGCAACTTTCACTTCCACAAAAAGAAATGGTAACGTGTTTACTCGGAACTGTCATTTATCGAGCACGCACCTTTACAATGTATTCCGCAACATCTTATTCTCACTTCCACGCCGGTTCTGGATCTATTAGGATGTGGTCGCCATAAATGGGGCCAATTCAGAACGGAGCGTACCTCACGAAATACGCCCAAAGTATAAGAACGAAACAATTCGCTTTTTGCTCTTTTACAGTTCGCGGTTACCGGAGCATCCCGGCAACATTTATTTTCTGTTGTTTTTTTTCATAATATTATATTCAGGATTACGGAACAGTCGATCTTGTATCGTCTTTCATCGAATTTGTAGACCCATTGCTCCCTTCTCGCTAAATTATCTCACGTTTTCAAAAGGACGATTATGTTCAAATTATATTCCACTTGAGCGCAACTTCGTTTGCTCTGTTTGCGGTCCTGACAGAGATCATGTCGTCAACTAAATGTCGACAACATCGGAATTTATGTCGGTTAACACGTTCCCTGCCGCGTGGGGCGTATACGCCCCACGCTGAACTTTCCGTTCAAGCCATTTGGTATTATCATTGTAAAATGAAGAATTTTTTAAAAATTCATTATGCAGTCAATTATGGACATCTTAATACTATTGCTGATGCCCTCATTTAATCGTGGGACGTATACGCCCCACGCGGCGTGATGGGCAATTTTTCTTTACTGTAACTAGTTTTAACTGCATTTCTCTTATTCCGATCAGTCATTTATTCGCGTGTCGTTGACACAATACTTACTGCTTCACTGAAGCTGGGATTGATTTATAGCTCTATAGTACTGTAAAAGTTGTAACATTCTGCGATAGTTGTGTGGATGAACCACACTTATGTTTGCCATGTTTTAACAAAGTTCATCGTA